TCTGTCTAAATATCATAAAAATGTGTCGATGAATGATGCTATGGTTTATAATTTTGTTAAAAAAATATAGAAATTGTATAAAATGTCATGATTTGTATTTTTCACAGATGAATTGTACTCTCAAAATGTTTAAAGAATGTCACAGACTATGAAATTAGTTTTCAGTAAATGTTTTATTGAACAAACAAAAAAGTTGAACATGTGATTCATTTTAGGGGAAAAGGAGATCCATTTCTTCAAAGCGGGTTGATCGCTCCAATTTGGAGATAAAATTATCTCTCTCTTTTGTCTCTTCTTCAAAATACTGGCCATTTCATAACCGGGCTGCTTCTTTTTTTCACCCGCAGCCGGAAGTAACCCCCCTTCGCTCATGAGTTGCGTCATCTGCTGACGCGCTAGTGGGTTTGTCACCGCTAATAAGGGTACATTTTTCTCCACCAGAGAGTTTAGGAAATGAATCCACCCTGTTGGTTGTTGTTTCTTTTTAACAGGCTGGTGATGTTTTTAACCAAATCAAGAACGTGAGATCCATTTTGCACATTCCCTTTATATATAAATTCACCTGTTGATCCCCAATTAAATCATATCATCTTCAGCAGGCACTCTGCATTTCTCCTGCTGTGTGCCGGCAAATTCTGCAGCGTGTCTCGAATGACAGCTTCAGATGGATCAGCTGGCACAGCAGCGGCAGCGGCATCAGCTGATTCAGTGTTCTGTTCAGTGGGGGGACAATCTGTAAATCCTGTTGTAATCCGGCTCTCGCCAGAGCGAGATAACACTGTAGCAGTGCGTTGTATATATGCAGAAGCGTTTTGTTTTTAGACAATTTCTTATATTGAAGTGGTGAAAGCCGAATGTTCCCTTTCAGCACGTTTAAAGCAATCTTGCACAGAGCGTGCACAACATCCGGCGAGCAGCCTCTTAAAAACTCGTGACGTTTCCGTGGGTTCATGCGATACAAAGCCTTGAGAATCCTGGCGTTCGTTTTATCCTGGACGACATTGTTCTATTTTAGGCAAATATACCACCGTCATTTGACCTGGAAGTACTCCGCTGCGCAGCCTTAGACGTTCTGGTGTTTCCTGTTTCAAATCCACTATTAAATAACCGTGAGGGTCCTGTGTTGTGTCTTGGAAACTCTCGAGAAAATATCTTTTTTTGAGTAGGGTAGATTTGATTTGCTAAAACGTTTATTCAATTCTTTTAATAATTTGAGACGTGTGTGCGTGGTTGTAAAGGCAGTGAGTGAAACATTGTTACTCCTGCCAGGAGGTGACACGCATCTCTCACTCACACAGTGCTGCACCAGGACCACTTCAGAGGTGATAAAGTGGAAGAATTTAAGTGTTTGCTAAATGGTTATAAATTATCAACTAGCCTTAAAAGGGGGACTTCTTTCTTTCATTGTAAACTGATACCCCCAGCATTTTCTAGCAGAGCTTTGTCAGATGCCTTCATGTGAAGCCAGCCTAAATGGAATGGAATGGGCCCTGTCCACCCAAATACCTCCTGCTTAGAATGAGCTGTAACCGGGCGTACACTGTGCGACTTATTCACTGTTTTGAGCCGATTTTCCAGTCGTGCGAGAATCCACGACATGGGGGCGAGTTTTGCGCCGAGCGGTCGTGTAGTGTGGGTTACGAGAGGCGATTAACACCACGTGACCAGCTGCCGATCAGCAGTCGCGAGGTCGCACGGACTTTTGGCGTGTTTAATATTTCACTCGTCCCTCGTGAGGGTATCGCACTGTTGAAGCGGCGCTGCGAGCAGCTGCGACCCAAAATGTATCAGAAACGCTCACGGCGCATGCGCAATCCTGCATCAACGCCGCTCCCCGCTATTTCCCTAATAACACACGCTGTTCGTTTTTATTTCTACACGTTTTTTTTACTCACAAAGATTGTCAAGAAAGCGTGTTTGTCGTGTTCATGTCAAATTAAACTGATCACAAAACACAGATTTACTTTCTTTATTTCGTTTTCCTAATCCAACCCCCATAAATCCCTGTGTGTCCTCCTGCAGCATTCCCGAAGGACAACAGGCAAAACAAGACCAAAAAGTGTTGTGTAAAAACTGCTATTTTTAGCATATTTTTAGGGCCGACGTGTTGCTACCAGACGTACAGTGTGAGCAGTCAGGTCGCATCCGAGAACTGGGTCGTACAGTGTGAGCGCCTGGCTCGTGAGATCTGCTCTGCGAGGAAGTCGTACAGTTTGAGCTGAAGCTGAGTGCTATGAGTGAAAAAGTCGCACAGTGTCCGCCCGGCTTTAGTTGTATGGAAACAACCCCCACCAATGATTCCATGTATTGGATGCATTTACAGAACAAAGGTAAGTCGATGCTTTGTCTAGGTAAGTGAAATGACTGAGCTGAAGTGACAGTTGTCTCTATGGTGACTTCCTTTGTTGTAAATTTAACACTAGGATTAGGAGAGGCTGAGACAAATGTCTGTGTGGATGGTGAATGTTTTAGAGTCAGTAACCCTAAATTCTTTACTTGTCTTAGAGAGAGTCAGGCATTGTGTGAAAGGGGGAAGTGCTTTAAATGTGTGTGTGTGTGTGTGTGTGTGTGTGTGTGTGTGTGTGTGTGTGTGTGTGTGTGTGTGTGTGTGTGTGTGTGTGTGTGTGTGTGTGTGTGTGTGTGTGTGTGTGTGTGTGTGTGTGTGTGTGTGTGTGCAGGGATGTGGGGTCTCACATATGAAAGGGGGCTGTGGGAACTGAGGGGCTAACACAAAAGAGTTATCAATCCTAACTTGACATAAAGTGGTGCAGATCAAAGCAGATCATCAATATACATCTTGACAAAAGGGGACTACAAACAATAACTTCATGCATCATTACACAACAGTCATCAATTCATTTCTTGACATATAGGGTCATTAAAGATCATATAACAAAAGGTCATAAAACAATACACCTGACAAGTTTGACGGAAGGTGGTTTGGGGGGGGGGGCATAAAGGTCAAAGAACAATACACCTGTCAAGTTTGACGAAGGGTGGTTTGGGGGGGAAAGGGCATAAAGGTCTAAGAACAATAGACCTGTCAAAAAGCTTGACGAAAGGTGGTTCCTTATATCTCTCTTTGGTTGATGCTCATCCAGGATTGTATCTTTCAGAAGCTACTTGACAAAACATTCATTTTATTGGTTGCCATCGTTATGGGAAGAGCATTCCAATCAATATGGCAATAAAAGCTCCAGAAAAACATCTCCCCATCGCTAATGGTTTTCTATACAGAACCATCAAAACAGCATAAATTATGAAACATAAACATATACAAAATATTTGAAAAAATTCTGTCAATTGTTTAATTGTTTTTTTAACAAATGGGTTTTTGGTTTTGGTTTTGGAAACATAAACACATTAATCTGTGGTGCCCTGGTCCCTGAGGGCCACCATCATGCATTTTTCTTGAACACACCTGATCTTAACAAGCAGCTGAATGAATAATTCAATCATTTGTAGGGTTTGGTAAATTGAGTGCTTTAAGAGATAAAAAAAAAAAAAATATATATATATATATATATATATATATATATATATATATATTACCTCTACTTATGACCAATAAGCTGTGATACTTGATCTAAATATAGAATATCAACCCTGCTTGGTCTTTACTGTGTTTATCAGAAGATTCTAGGATTCTTTATTTATTAAGGGATTGTACACGCTCCATTTTGATTCAGAAAAGAGTCAGGTTTATAAAAGTAAGAATTTATTTTACAAACAATTAAACATGACAGGTTAACTAACATTTACTGTGAGTGGATGGAACTAGATGTGATGTATGAACCTATGTGTAAATGCAGTGTTATTCAGAACTTCCGTATCTAGGAGAGCTGAGTTCTGGATGTAAAAGATTTTGGTTTGCGCTAAGCTACGAAGTTGATCATGATCAAAAGCACATCAGACACTATCTGTGTGTCTACTTCACCCGTTCTGGAGACCCTCTTGGTTGATCCGAAGGTCAGAGAGGTCGAATGACCTCTGGCACCAAAGGGCTGTAGAATACCGTGGCACAGACTCTTGCGTCCAGAGATGTCTCGGGTCATGACGGATGGATGGAACCGCATGTCTGGGACTCTTAAGGAGTCTAAACAATATCAGCTCATTCTGCAGGAACTGTTGCGGTATCAGCTTCGCAGGTGCAAAAAGGTTTTGACGACGTGTCAAAAGCATTGATGGGTTAAAGAGGGTTTTGCTTCAGATGGCCGGTCTGAAGCTTTCTCTAGAACTGACGAATCACCAGAGTGATCTGGTTTTAATGTTCTCATGTTATGATTTGTGTAGCCAACCAGAGGTTGACAAGTTTGAGGAATATTACCAAGAGTCTCAGAAACACGCTTTCTTTGATACGGAGGCTCTGGTAAAGGGCTATTTATGTGTCACAAGTTTAACTTAACCTTACTTTGTTCTTGTGTGAGTGCAAATGGTGATGACCTTGTCATATCAACATGCTGAAACATATTTCAATCACTGTAATCATAACATAACATTAATTTCCAACTTCAGTCATTGAGCACAGATTAATGAAACATTTCATTGTATTATAATTATTATAAGTAGCAATAAACAAACGTTTATTTAATGATTATCTAGCTTATAAGTTTTAGAAGTTCATATTTAATTTAGGAAATCATTCTTTGATTTGGCAACTGATCCGAGCTGCTAGTGTTAGGCATGAAGAATCCTGTAGGACGATAAGGACGGACCTTGAGGAGAGAACATTATCGTTGACAATTTGTTATCATGTGCTCAGAGCTGCAGAGAGGCTCTGAGCTCCAGCTGATGGGATGAAGGCAGGCCAATTTAAAGGGGACACATGCAGTCTCGTGTCTCCTTTTTGACCAGATGTTGAATGGTCAAACTGTACCTAAAAACTGACCATTGCTAGACATTATACATTGAAGCAGGTGTGTTGGAGGAGAGAACCCCTCGATGACCTGGGTTGGACCCCTCTCTTATCTGTGAAATCTAGGGGAGCCTAACATTTTGTTTCATGCTCTGATGCCGCACAGCAGATACCGTTTCAAATACTGTTTAAACACCTTGTCTCGCAGCCCGTACACAATGGGACTGACAAACCGGGGGAAAATCTGTATGATGATGTATGAAACAAACTGTATATGCGTATAATTATTGGGGAACCAGTAGATCAGTGAGTTACTTAATATAGGGGAAACATAGGTTAGCATGCACAACGAGAGCTGGAAGCCATGAAGCAGGATTGTGTTTCTGGCCTTGTTTGCATTTCCATCAGCTGAATTTGCTGCTCGAGCTGCAAAAAAGATTTTGAAGTAGGTAAAGAAGATAGTGAGCCAAACTAGAGCTAAATAAACAAGAGAGGAAATGTTCCTTTTTTGTAAACTGACTGGATGTTGAAACAGATTATCTCTTTCACAAAATATCGACGAAAAAAGCAAACGTACGGGCTCTGTTGCCAGGACGATGAAGATGTCTGGCATAACGGCAACCGAGCTCAAAACCCAAATGCAACCGATCAGGATATATATTCGTTTGATGTTGCAGAGCTCAGCGTGTCTCAGTGGGAAACACACGGCGATGTAGCACTCCACAGCCATCAGAGCTAGATTTAACGGCGTGTTCTGGGTGGTGAAAATGGCAAACGTAAGAATTAAACAACAGACGGAAGCGTTGACTCTGTAGAAGATGTAACTGATGACAAACAGGCTGACTGTTGTGGTGAGCTGGATCAAGTCATTCACCACCAGATGAATGTACAAGATGTAACGAGGATTCATGTAAAATATCTGGAAGACAGATAAAAACGTCACATCAGAATGTTTTTTTATGACAGCTTTTAAAGGACAAAAAAGGATCTTCACTTATTTAATTCTTTTTTTTTCTTTCAGCTGGATGGATGAGTGACAACTTGAATTAAATTCGTAGACACAACTGTTATACTAAGAGCAGCTGTGATCTGGGATTCTCTAGGAATTATTTTATTGACAGTTGATCTTCACGCTCAAAGGAAGTGTTTCTAGTTCTCAATAAGCTGGCAGAGAAATCCATCCTGCACCTAACAAAATTAGACAACATCAAAAGCTGCCGGCACATTTAAACTCCTGTTTTTGGATTAGGAATGCAGAGAATAAAATGTCGATCTTGGACCAACTTTGGCCAGTTTTAGTGAAATTGTTTTATGCAAAATCCAATTCACTTTACAGCAATGTGTTGCAGAAATTACAAAGGTGATTTTGAAAGGTCTTCAGGGAGAATGCTAGGGAATGTTTAGACGTTTTAAGTATCCAAAGCTGTTTAGGATGAACACAGGTTAATTCAATTCAATTCAATTCAATTCAAGTTTATTTATAAAGCTCCAAATCACGACAATAGTCGTCTCAAGGCACTTCACATAATAAACATTCCAATACAGGTCGGTTCATTAGGCCAGTCAGTAAAGTTACCTATATAAGGAACCCAGCTAATTGCATCAAGTTACTGACTAGTGTCAGAGACTTTACAGCAATCCTCATACTAAGCAAGCATATAGCGACAGTGGAGAGAAAAACTCCCTTTTAACAGGAAGAAACCTCCAGAGAATCCTGGCTCAGTATAAGCAGCCATTCACCACGACTCTCTGGGGATTGAGAAGACAGAGCAGACACACACACACACCAACACCAGCCGACCCCCACACAAACAACATATATACCAAGTAATGTGTCTATGGTTACATTGTGATTTCTTAGTAAATATTCTATTTGGTGAGAGATAAACTTTATTGTATTTATCCTTGTGAATCTATAATTAAACGGGTAAACTAGTAGTAGTACATTCAGGTTAGGCGTAAAGGCAGGAACAACAAAGGATGACAGAGAAAGGCTGACCTGCTGTTTCCTGAAGCAGTGAACCAGTAAACAGTTGATGTAGTTGATGGTGATGCCGAGAGCCAGGATGATGATATTTTTGACCATGACTGTGCTCGCAGAGTCCCGATAACCGCTCGACACGTTGTTATAAGAGGACAAATTCATGAAGGTGATTTCCTGTGAGTTTCTTTAACAGAAGAAAATCTTAAGTTTAAACGTTGAAATCTGTTTTCTTTTGCACCAAAATGTATCTTTTTTTTCTTCTTGACATGTTTTTCAAGTTTACATTTTATGCACTTGAAAATAATCAATTATATATTCAAAATATCTTAAATTTCCATTGCATAAACACTTTTAGCCTAAAACAATTCTCTCCATGATTCAGAAGTGTTATTTCCAACATCAGTCACTAAATTAGCTTCACTTTGATGCAAAGCATTAATGCTACATTTTAACAACCACCCAGTGTTGTTTTGATTGGAAAAAGCATTCTAAATGTTCATCTTTATATGAAACTTAGATTAAAAAAAGTGTTGGATGGAAAAAAAGGGACAAACTTAACCAAACTTTATTCTTAAAACTAATCAGATATTTGTAAGGTTAGTCCTTAAATGTTTGTGCTTATTTTAATTATGAGTTATTTGTTTAAAAAGTAAATAAGTTACATGAAAACATCTGTTATTAAGGAACAAAAGGATGAGAGAATATTATACTTACTTAACTCAAAACACTGAGGAGGATTTCAGACCTCTGCAGCTCACGCAGGACTCCAGCTGAGCCAGCTGGGAATGAACCTCTTGCATGGCTGATGTGTTTATATTAATCATCTTTATTCATAAGTTCGGACAAACGTGATGTAATTATGGTCTAACTCTGCATTGGCTCAAAGTTTGTTGGATAACAAAGTAATGTGTCTTTACTGCCAATAAACGCTCACTACTGTGGGCAAAACTCAGACATTTAAGCCAACGGTGGAAATCTTTCAAGTTTAAAAAACTGTTTCTGTGATTTTAGCAGGATTTCCCTACAAATTGTATTTATTCCAGTAGTATTCGATTGCATCTCTGCAACATGACAGGTTCAAAGGCAGACAATCAAAACATTATCAAAATGCCATTTCAGGAGGAAATCCGAGTTACACGCGTCTTTTTATTTGAATGTTCTTATTTTGATATGAAAGATGTAGAACACTGAAAAATCATTTTTAATGATCATTTTCGATTCTAATGGGTCACTTTGAGCTTTTCATGCAGTCTAAACATGAAATAGTCTCCTACACCTATCTCCTGCATTAGCTTGATAGAAAATAGATGGTGAAACTCTAGGATTAGAAAATCCTGACAGATCTACGTCACGCTGTCACTAACATTCATGAACTCACCCATCTTGACTCACGACGGGGAAGGCTGTTGTTGGTTTTGTGTCCAGGAAACAGCAGAGAACGTCTCAGTGAGTAGAAGCTAACCATTAGCATTAGCAACTCCACCACACAGCAGAACTCCTCCAAACTTGTGTTATTTGTGGAGGTAAAATGAAGTTGCAAGTCAGTGGTAAAGTCACATTGTTGTTAGCAAATAAGAGGTGTGATGGTTCTAATCCTAGAGTTTCACGTCTATTTTCTATCAGAAGCTAATGCAGGAGATATGTGTAGGAGATATTTTCATGAAGCAGGATTGTCTGTTTCGCTTTTGTGGCATCTGCTTTTGCAGCACTGGCATGTTTGTGCAAACTAACTCAAAAATGTGAACTGTTGTTTTAGAACTTTTTATTTTCACAAAAGACCAAAGTCACGTTTTTTTTACATCTGCAATGGTCTCTAGTATAAATGAAGGCCTTGTGAGTCGATCTCTGCGGGAAAGAAAGCTCTGGCGCTCCTGTTTCAGGAACTAGAAATGAGCCAGAGGAGTAGGGAGCTGAACACCACAGGATTTTGACTCTTATTTCCTGATATTTGGACATCTCGTATCTGACTGGCTAGCATCAATATCTCTAATGTTTAAGATAGCATTTGCGGCCTGTCCAAAATAAGCACTTTCTTTGCATCAGAACGTCTTTAAAATTCACGGATATCAACACATCTCTCCTGTTTTAGCTTCCCTACGTTGGCTACCTATTGAATTCAGAATATACTTTAAGATCCTCCTTCTCACCTATAAAGCTCTTAATAATCAAACTCCATCATACATCAGTCATCTGATTGTTCCATATGTTCCTAACCAGTGTTGGGCAAGTTACTTCAAAACTGTAATGCATTATTTATTACTTGTTACCCTCATTTTAATGTAATTCATTACATTACAGTATTACTGATTTTAAAATGTAAGGCATTACACTACTTTTGCAATACTTTAAGTTACTTTCACCAAAACAACTTCAATATGAATCTGGTAATCTGACGCTCAGTGAGCTCATGACATATATGTGATGTGGTGTCTGAGCTAGGATTGCTGTTAAAAACAGTCAGATATAATAACAGTGCTTTAAAATGATTGTTTATTAAATAAAAGCAACAACAATCTGTACTCTCAGCACGCTGCCATCTTATATTAACTGATCAGGGAGTGAGGTGGTGGGGGCTCCAAGCCTATATTTGCCTTGGTCCCCAAATGCCTTGATACGGCCCTGGATGTGGGACTGACTTCTGGTGTGATCTGATTCTATCACATGTATAAATATTAAATGCTTATATATTATTGCTTTTCACTGGTAAAAATGTGTATTGGGGATAAATCTACCTACTTTTTTTCTTTTCAAGCACTTTGTTTAGTTTTCTTGATTTTATTTGAATAATTTCCGGCCCTTTCTCTCTCTAACCGTCCTGCATGCTGCATGTTTTCTCCGTCTTCCAGAAAAACTGTTTCCTAGACTTCCTACTTTCTAACGATCAGCCAAAGGGATCTTCACATGCGCGGCGCTCCAGCAGCAATGAGTTGAAATCACCGGGGCACAGATTATGAACTCAGCTGAGGCAAAGCACATCAGAAAAGCACACAATACCAGAGAATATGCGCCGATATGAACGATCGCAAGTGAATTATTTGGTTTTAGTGGAGCGATTTTGTGAATGTTGCAGCGGCCGCGTGCAGGACGCAGCTGGAGTAGTTGAGCCGTTACCGCTGCGTCCTCTCTGCCCGCAAAGCTGAGTCCATAAATGACGTCATATATGCAGATACTGGATCTTTCTTCGGGTTTCCCGCAATTTGAATTTTTAAGGAACACATCTTGATTCTGGGTTTAAAAATGCATTGTAATTACCGCGTTACTGACAATTGTACCGAGTAAATATTACCATTTTCTTTCCCTGTAATGCCTTACATTACCACATTACAGCAAAAAGCAATGCATTACAGTAATTAATTACTTTTGTACCGCATTACTCCCAACACTGTTCCTAACAGAGCACTTCACTCTCAGACTGCAGGTTTACTGGTGGTTCCACATCTAAAAATAGGATGGGAGGCAGATCTGTAGTTATACTGCTGTAGGCGAATATGGCTGAGGAGGACATACTGACAACACTCTACTACTTTCTTCTACCACTTCTCTCTAATTGTATTATTTCCTGCTATTTCAGCTTTATTTTCTCTCTGAGTGATTTTCTCCTCAGAAGAAGCTGCTGAGCTGTGGTGGCCTCATGGAGGTGCTAACCACGTAACATTCTCCCTCTCTGGATGATAACATTTTACTTTCTTTGACATGAAATGTGCTACTACTAGTTTACCTGTTGAATTAATTATAGATTCGCTAAGATAAATACAATAAAGATGATCTCTTACTGTTACGCCCCCTACTGTCTAGGAGACTGGAAATAGATAGGTGTAACTTAGGGGCAGCAGTAGCTCAGGAGGTAGAGCGAGTTGCCTCATGATCAGGGAGGGTCATGGGTTTGATTCCAGCTCCTGCCAGGGGTATTCAGCTGTTGTGTCATTGGGCAAGACATGTCACCCAACTTGCCTGTGTTGGTGGTGGTCAGAGGGGCCGATGGCACCAAATGGCAGCCTCGCCTCTGTCAGACCGCCCCAGGGCGGCTGTGGCTACAAGTAGCTTATCATCACTTGCAGTGTGTGAATGTGAGAGTGCATGAAAGCATCTTTGAGTGTCCTAAACAAGCGCTATATAAGTTTGATGTATTATTATTAGGCTTCTCACATTGAGAATATTACATGTAATAAAAAAAAAATCCACTGAAATCTTTGCAGCTAACACTGCAGTAAGTTCTGTTCGGTCTTTTTTATTCCTTTTTTCCCCCAAAGACCTGAGGATTTGATTTATTTTATGCTATGGTTTTCCCTTTCAAGTCTCAATCATCTTTGGTGAGTCATTTGTTGTAAAATATCTGCATCTATGGAAGTTTAAAGTGTCTGATTACAAGCAAGCATCAGCCTTCAGAACCAAATATTACTACATGAGAAATAAGGTTAGAACCCAGCACACACAGTCATAACTTTCTGGTTTTATAGCAAATTGAGCCAAAAAATAGAAAAAAACAAGCACTCTACTCTGATCCAGAGGAAGGACATCTGCAGCTCAAGAATACGAATAAAATTTACAACACAGGATGAAAAAGGATCATGATTAAAATGAGCTAACATTCTCACAGAACTCTGACTTTACACAACAGATACCTTCTCAAGTATTTCCTAAAAGTATTGTCTTGTACTCCATAAATAATAGGACTAATGGACCGTGGCAGTACCTGTACGACGGTATAAACAATGAAAAGGAAATTGTTAAAGTTTAAGGGGAACGATCGCTGCAGAACATTTACGATCATGGGTGCTATGTATGTTGTTATACACAAGAACACCTGGAAGCTGTGCAGGAGGACGGTGTTCCTTGCTTTCTTTGCATCTCTGCTTGCAGTTTTTGCAGTGAACAGGATCTTGAAGTAGGAGAAAAATATAGTAAACCAAACAAAAACCATAAAGAGCGAGTATGTGATTTCTCTTTTCTTGCGAGGATCGGACTTGAGAAGACGTTTTGTCTGACGCAAAATATTTGAGAATGAAAAAAATCTGGTGGTTCTGTTGCCAAGGTGATGAATAGATCTGGAAGAACCGACAGCGTGGTGGTGGCCCAGATCAGCCCGATCAGCATGAATGTCCTGTTGATGGTGCAGATTTGAACATGGCGAAGAGGCATGCAGATGGCGATGTAGCACTCCATGCTCATGCAGGCCAGATTGAGAGGGGTGTTCTCAGTTGTGATAAGGGCCATCAGGACCAGTAGGCAGCAGACAGAAACATTCAGTTTGTAGACGGTGTCGCTTATAATAAATTGGCTGATGCTAAGAGTCACCTGGATCATGTAGTTGATCACCATGTGGATGAAAAGGATATACTGGGGATTCATATTGAAAATCTGGAGGACAGAACAACAATAAATAAATAAATAACATTATTTCTGTGTGTGAATCGTGACAGC